CAGATTATCGCGTCTTGTTCACTAGCATCTCTGACTTATTATTTTGTATTTGTATCCAAAACATTTAACATATTAATGTTCCAATTTTGACTTTAAATTCATAATATAAAACACAATACAATATTCTTCACACGGTCTTACAGTATGTAAAAATATAAGTAGTAAGGCAAAGAGCCGTTAAAGCAAACGGCCCGCTAGGAACGGGGCCATAACGAGAACGTTTCTCCAAGGATCCATCCTTTGCTGAGCGTGAAAACTCACTGCAGCTTGTCACGATTTCTTATGCTCATAAAACTATTATGAAATAAATCTTGCAAGTAACAGTGCAATGCCATCGCAATATAACAAAATTTTGAACATATTAATAAATCAAATTAAAAACTAATAAATTGTTTCTGTATGAGTATGAAAATGTGGTTAAATAATAATTTCTGACGAAAACACCGTTTTCATAAGAATCGTTGTTTCCGTTAATTTACCAGAAAACCACATACAAAATGAATCGAAACGTAAAAGCAATGGTAAAATTAAAAATACATCAAAGTAAAACTCATATCCGGCATATGAACGAGTATTTCGTATACTTCTCAATGGGCAATAAAACCGCTTCATTTACAGCCGGAGCGCAGTTACTCGATTCAAATGACATATTTACAAACAGTCGACGCGGTAAGAGCTCAAAAGAGCAACAGTATATCGCCACTTCAGTAATGAAATGGAATAAATAGTAGTTCGGTTCCCTTTGAAAGGAATCGGCAAATATTTTCCTCGAAACCCAGCACTTAAAAGTACTTTTGATCGCATTTGCTCTGAGGACGTTATTGATTTTTTCTTGAGGTATTGATTTGACAGTCGGGTTGATAGCGACGAATTGAGTTAACAGATTTACGGTAACCTTAAAACTTCGAATTCGAAATTTAAAATTTAGGACTATATGTGTAATATACATATTATACAGTTTTACTGATTCTGGGATTTGGTTAGTCATTACATAGGCCGTCACTCAGTGTAAATACTAAATCTATATTAAAGGAAATCCTTAGTAACCACTTAAGGTCTTTGAGTGTAGAAGTTGGTATTTATTTTTAAATCCAAGATATAAAGTATTAGAGAAAAATACTCGTACTTGATTGTATCCTCAAGCTATATAGAGACCGTTCTCAAAGTGCTGCGGAACCGATGTTAAGCCTACAGTGTGTCTAAATCTATTCCATCTCCTACAAAGTGCATTTCTTCGCCAAAGCCGCTATCTCTTGCACTACACAATCCGTTTAATCAAAATGTAACTTATTTATCCTTTTACTTATGTTGGTTCAATTAGGCTTTTGAAGAAATAGAATTTATTATGTCTATACATTTTTGACGATAAAAAGGATAAAGGAACCCACTGAGATATAAAAATGACTTTTGAAAATTACATTTTTTTTGATAAATCTATCCTCATTATAATATAAGTAATACGCGAAAACTATTCTCGAAAATGTGTTCCTGTTCACCGAATGTAGTAAATAAACTTCGCGTTGGTATAAATTACAGAATTCTGTCTTCTTGTTTTATGCAGCAAACATTTGGTTAGAAAATTGTTGTGACAACTTTAATTAACTAAAATGAATATTCCCTTTTTAGAAGAAGAATATGGTATGTTGGAACTTTCTCGAAATATGAAACTCTAATTAATTTGTAAAAGTTTTCTGTTTAAAATATCATGTAGAAAATTTCAAAGTATCGTAAAATGTTACACTAGTTGGAGATGTCATGTGAGGAAAGTCGCTGAGTATGCTACGACTTGTTTCTTTGAAAGTTGAAACTTGCCGCTCTTGTGAATGTTCCGAGTGAGACGTAGTCATTTAAAACACTCATTAAATTATATTTCTTCAGTTTAAATTTAGCTTTTTGTGCATTATTTACCGTGGGTTTTAGTACCAAAATCTCAGATTAAAACATATTGTTATATCAGTTTTGTACAAGATAGGGATGACGATATGATTTACAGAGATTTAGGTCTTAGAAACCAACGGTTTTTATCTATTAAACTGTTTTTTGTTAAAAATATTGAACTGAAAATCCTAATTAAACAATATTCTATTATTTCAATTGTAAATAGTTATAAAATTTTAATAAGGTTTAGTAAATACGTTGAAAAAATATGAAAAGAAAGTGTTCCTTTAGTTTCTTTTGAAAGTAAAGTATTCAGTAATCACTTCGTATCTTGTAATAACAAAGGCGAAGATAAGTAAGATTTTTGTGTCGGTAACTACAAACAGATCTAAGTTCTTTGGAGAGGTTTGCGGCTCTTGTTTCATCTTCTTTTTAAGCTTTTGTATCTGTTAGTGCACCGAGAATATCAAAGACCCACGGCCTCGTTAAGTATTGCTGTAAAAATAAGTAATAAATAAGTATAAATAAAGACATATAAATTAAACCGTTTAAATATAGAATTATGATTCAATCTTTTTATTTATTATTAAACGTTTTAGTTGCGTTTTAATTTATTCATCTATCCATGTAAATATTCGTATTTATAATATTTGTATGATTATACGCCCTATCCCTTGAAAATAGAATACAGAACAGTGGGACATAGAAACAACTGTGACTAAGTAAAATAGGACATATCCTTAGCTTCGTAGTAATAGTTGGGAAGCGGAATTTATTATAGCTCTTTATTCTACGGATCCTCCTCTTTTATTTCAATGTAAAGAAAACATTTCCTTCAAGGAAAATTCTCGAACCTAGAATTTCTTTCGCAGAAATAATATTTAGTGAATATTAAATTGTATTTTTCTTTAGAAAATTCACTTCACATTTTGTTCCCGTTATCTAAGCTTATAATAATAGACAATTGTTTATGTTTTCGTTAAACAATAAAAATAAAAAAGTAAAACTTACAATACACCTTGACGAACGTAAGTTTTGCTACAAACAAGTTAAAAGTAAACTCAAAACTTCATTCTAATTAAACATGAGTTTGAAACAATAACTTCTACATACTTCAAATAAAAGCATCTTCTTTTAAGGCTTTAAAAAATATTTCCAAAAGTTGTGCGTAAAAAGCGTAGTTTGATGGCCTTTGTGCACCACAGCACTGTGTTCTCTACGCCGATAAAACACGATACTCAAAATGATATAATAAGATTCAAACTTCTTATTTGCTTGTGGTTAGATTCGAGTGCATGGGTTCGTAAATGGTCCCTCTGTGAGTTGAGGAAAGCGTTTGAAGTTACATTTATCTTTGTATCTCTGCATCCAGCCGATACATAAGTATTGTGTAGCGTCTGGTGCGGAACTGCGAGCCGCTATAAAGTTTGTATAGCATTATACAAGAAAGTCTTTCATCTCGCTGACAAGTGGCCGCTTCCTCGGGAGACTGTCTAATGACATCGTTATCGTCCCTTGTACATTGTCATATAACGTACTTTTTTGTTTCAGTCCTTTCATATTTTTATTATTTTTATAAGTATCAATGTACTTGAAAAGCACTGATTGAATCAAATATTGTTAAAGATGACTTTATGAGACTTGTGATGGTTTGTTCTGTTGTTTGTTCTGGTGAATTGTTGTGAGTCATTTTATAGCGCAACTATTATGAAGCACAACTTTATTTTATAACTAGCTGTCAACCGCAACTCCGTCCGCGCGGTATTAAATAATACCTAATTAGTAGCCGATGTATGCCAAGCTATGTTCTACATCGATGACAAATTTCAGCGAGATCCAGCTAGTCGTTCTTATGATACCTTCAAACAAAGATCCATCCATCCATCTAAACCTTTTAATCTTGTAATTTATTCGATTCAATGAATAATAAACCTACTAATCGATATTTTAAATTGTACAAATAAGTATAAATATTTTACAATACATAAATGTTCGACAATTGCTTCGTGTTTCAACTCCATTGGATTTCGAAGTAGCAACAATCTTCTGCTCTACAAGGCCTGCCCTCAACCATTTTGCTGCATCGCTTTTGTGATACGAAATATTTTATAAATTGCATTTCCTACAGCAAGCAATCGAACTATGCTTTTGAATTTTTCCTCAACCAGCACTGCCCGCCTCTCACAAGATTGAAAAGCGATCAAAAATTGATAACGCCCAACTGCATATAAAGTTTGTTCTTAAATTACTGTCAATCAACACTAGCTGTGCCTCGCGACTCTGTCCGTGCGGAATTAAAAAATAACATAGTAGCTTATGTGTTCTTCCGGACTATGTTCTAACATGCAGACATCTATCCAGCCGTTCTGGAGATACCTTTAAACATCCATCCATCCATCGATTCGTCCGTCCATCCAAATGTTCAAATTTATATTAGTAAGATTTAAAAAATCCATAAATCACTATAATTGGTAAAGATCCGACCGTCTTATTAAATAACAATATTTATATTGTGAAATAAACATAATTACAGTTACAAAAGCCCTGTCAGATAACAAAAGCCGTATCAAAATTAAATTTCCTTGTGAGTAAATTGAAATAGATCCAAAGCCAGTTATCGCAATCATCCTTTACATTCACTTTATAAAGTTATAGATTTTTTATTTACTTTTTTTCACCGATTTGGTTAACATAATGTTATTAAATCATATACTATTGTAAATTTCATTTACATATTTATCTAACTGTATTTTAATTTCCTCAAAGTTTAACTTATCGCGTAGTTTTTATGTTAAATGGGATTAAAGCTTATAACAAAAAAACTTAGTGAAAACTACCTTAGCTTAGAAAAACATACAAAAAAATTCCATTTCCAATTTCTTACGGTGAAGGAAAACATCGTGATGCAACCTGCACATATCTGAGAAGAAATTCAAAGATATTTGTGAAGTCGAACAACCCGCACTTGGCCAGCGTGGTTGACTATGGCCTAATCACCCTTAACTTAGGGTAGGCTCCGAGCCCCTCGGTGGGGACATGCAGTGAGCTGATGATGATGAATATCCAGAATTTTTCCTTATTCCAGAAAACAAATAACGATTATTTTCCTCTTCCATTTTCAGATTCTGAGCTCGAGGAACTTGGGGAGCAGTTGCCGCGGTACCGACCGGATTCCATCGCGGCGTTGCGTCGTGCCACGCGCTTCACGGAGCCGGAACTAAAGCGTCTCTACCGTGGCTTCAAAGCGGAGTGCCCCACAGGCGTCGTGCGGGAGGACACGTTCAAACTTATCTACTCTCAGTTTTTCCCGCAAGGAGGTAAGTTTTAAATGTGGGTACTGCCGAAACATACAAACACATAGTCATCTCTCTCATGATTTTTAAAAAAACAGAGATAGCAATATATGTTTTACAAGTGGAAACCCACTGCAAAAACATACAAAATAATATCATAAACCCATAGTTCTAGTGGACGTGCTTCTCACGAAGGTAAGCTTGTGATAGTAAAAATCATATAGTACACGTACTTATACATATGGTGAAAGAAAAGGAGTCTTTATTTACTTCAAAGTCTTATAGTCTACTCGTGTTTATTTGCTTAAAAGTCATAAATTTATTTGAGAGTGACAAGAAAATTAAATTATCATCCATTACCTACTAAAATAGTTATGCTATTCTTCTTATCTTACGAGTATATATATGTTACTTTTACATTACAACCAGTTGGTACACTTAAGTTCAAATTGTTTAACAACAATATGGAATTATGTAAATGACGCTACAAGATTGTTTTGACCTTTGATACAATTCTTAAAAAGAAAAGTCGAGTCCTGTAATACAAAATGGCGACCGGAGCTACGTACTACATCGGGTTAAGTTGAAACATTACGAAAGCGTTGTAATTAAGTACTTTATTTCTGCGCTTTCATTATAAAATACTCTATTTTAAAATACTTTGTTTTTTTTTAATCTTTTGTTTTTATTTCTTTCCGCATCCTTGATAAAAAGTCTTTTGTTTTTAATTTTTTTTTGTATCAATGAATTATAACTTTTTCAATATTTTAAGTTGGCAACATCACTGCTTTCGTTTAAAACACTTTTACATCATACCGTATAATTATCAATTACAAAGAAATTATTCTCTTTTCAAAATTTCAAATTTCAACTAACTTATTCGCATTAAAACGGCCGTCAAAGATGGTTATTATAAAATTAATTTAATTTGGAAGTGAAAATTTTTTTAATAAATAAATGCCTAATTGTGTTTTATTTACCCTACTTCAAAAGAAGAGAGAAGATGGCAACGTAAGCAGAAAAAAGGTAAGTGGAATTTTAGTAAATCTTAATCAAAAAATCTTAACTGAAATATTAAAACATAAACACTTCGTGAAATTAAATAAGGCATAAGGACGTAAGATTCGTTATTAGGCGATTCGTTGCTCGTTTGCCCCTTCTCCTATAAAAAAAAGAACAAAATTTCAAACAGTTCCGACTAAACCATAGATTAGCCAATTCCTCTTTAATTATTGATTACGCTCTCTGGTAATTTTCATTTGTTTATATATTTGCGAGGCTGATTTTCAATTTGAACACCACATAGGGCCATTAAGCCACGTCAATAAAATCGTATTTGCCATTAAGATGTCTCAAAGCTTTCACATCCGCGTTACTAAAACTATGCCGGCCACGGCCATAATACAGTAATAAAATAGGTTATAAAAAAGCTTCCCATAAACCAGCAATAAAAGCAGCCCACGTACATATATATCCAACATATACAAACAGTACTCGTCTATGTAAACAATTCAAAATTACCAAAAGCTATTCATATCCTCTAACTTTCAAACCATAGGACTTAGGGTTACACCTCAGTGTTCCCGCTGCTCGATTGCCTCCTTCTGTTATTAAAAAAAAACTTGAAGAATATTTCATACAAGTTTTACGGCTCACCAACACAACACACAACCGCTTCGATTGCCTGCCGAATGACGACTGTCAAGACGTTAGCGCTTGAGACAACCAATACCATAGCCATTACACATGTGTTCACATGTTATAAAATATTAAAACGATTCACGACTATTCGAAGTTGCAAATGTATTTAATAATATCATATACCAATTTCTCTATCCACATTTGAATTCTAAAATTTTATCGGAATTAAAATCGATTTCTAAGCGCCATAATGGCTTTAACATTTGGCAATTGCATCTGCACTACTGAAGGTAATGGCCGAACCGTAAATAATATTTCCATTTGGTTCTCTAATGCGCTTCAAATTTTTTACATTCAAAAATACATCTTATATTTAAAAATTTGCTGTATATACTAGTTCAACTAGTACTTTCATATAATAAAATATATCAAATTCATTTCATAAAGTTAACTTCTTGGACGTTGATATTAGAAAGTGCAGTATTTCATTTCCTATTAATATGTTCCGTAATATATAAATGACTGAGGAGTACATGTTATAAAATGAAAAATTCAGTAATATATTTTATAGGGTGCATTTTACGAAATAAATATAAAAAATATATAAAAAAATAGCAATACAAACCCATTCCTGGCATTCTTTCTTTTTGTATGCATTACTTTCGTCTTTCCCTCCGTCTTTCTCACATAATGACATACAAGCAATCCATTCAATAATCAAAATTTTGTTACTTTAATTTAAAAACACTCACGTACTGAAAATAAAAATTACTGCTAAAATATTTTAACTGAAAATAGATTTTAAATTACCAACTCCATTATGGTTTTCATCAAAATTTCCGATAACTTTGCACACAATTTTCAGAGTGGTTTATGAGATTGTTGGCAAAGTTCGCGCACGCAAGAGAAACAAGACTGTTACGCCAAACATCGAATGCATCTCATTAAGTACTCGAAACGCCGACGAGGCGGGTGCTTGGCAAAGCTCGTGTGACGCTCGAGTTCGCATGTTCTACCTGCGAATATTCTGTGTGTGATAAAAAATGGAGCGTGAAATCCAAAATTATACTGAACTTTAATATAATATTAATGTATAAAAGTAAACTTTAATTGAAAGTCTCACGTAACATAAAGTTGTTTTACTTTTAAAATAGATGGCGTTATTCCCAATATTGAAATTAATCAATCAGTCGATCTTTTTACTAATAATTCTATTAAGTATTTTTATCATATTAGTTCAAATATTTAAAAATAATTGATGGTCTAAAAGTTGACACAACATTCCTTGATATAAATACAAAGAAAATTTAAATATGAGAAAATAATTTCCATAAAAAAAACTTCTCATTATCTAAGATTAAATGTACATTTTTAAACACAGTGAGTAACAACCCTTATGCAAGTGTAAGCCGCGCAATGTTGGTCATGTTTCATATTACTTCACAAAAGCGTGTGTTCTCAGCGCACGGTACCCGACAGGCATCTTGAAATTTACGTTGCAAGCGCAACAGAACTACCTTAACTTGAAGCTTAAAGCTAAGTTTATTTTGATATAAGTTTCTCATAACATTAAATACCCGATTCAAAGTATATTCCTGAGCTTCTATAAGTAATTAGAACTATTAAATTGTTCGTAACAATCCAAATTGTTGAGTTTTTATGGTTTGCTTTCAGTATAGATACTGCCTCATATTCGTATCGCAATACACTTAATAATAAAAAGACAGGATGAGAGTCCCGTTAAAATTAAATGCGTGTCTTTAACATTTTCCAATGTTCATTTTATTATAAATATCCCTCACTAAATGAAGGCAACAGGTTGTCCGACTCGTAAGAGGTTGTGGAGAGTTCGCGTTTTAAATTTAAAAGTCCAAGTGTTAAAAAGCATGGAGTAAACATCGCGTAGCGTAATTTGTAACGAAATTAATTTTAAAACTGTTCTTTACATTTATTAGTGCACATTGAAATGTCGCAGAAAATATGCACAATTTATTAAAATTAAATATATTCTCTATGGCTTTTATTTCCAGGCAGTTTATTTCAAAGCTGAATACAGTTTATTTAAATGATTAAAGAAAACTTTTAAATACAAACTCTGATACAACTTCTATTCATTTTGAACCAAAAGTTGTCGGTGTTTGAAAAGCTCGTCCTCGATTAACACTAAAAACTAAAAAAATACACTGGAACCCGGATATTAAAAAAGTTCACGAGCAACGAAAAGCTTAAAGCTAAGGATTAAAACGTATTACGCATCCTTTTCAATCAAGTTATAGTTAAAAATCATTACAGAAATACCAGCTATGTTTTGAATTAAACAATCTCGCAAATGTCTTTCAACTTAATAAACGAAATAATTTTAATCTAAGAACTTAATCTTTATTTAATAATACACACAAAAGTTTTAACTCTATCTATTTGATGGAGATGGATGTAAGATATGTTATAGTAAACCTTTCTTCCTAATATTATAGGAATAAAGGAAGACTATATAGTCTATCGTCTATCCAAATTAACTAATAACTTAGTTAACCTAAAGTACGAATTAAATTAGAAGGAATTAAGGCACAACTATTATATTTTGTCAAATTCTTTATTTTATCCATTCAAACAGAACTCCGACTCCAAATTGAATTAAATCGGCCATCAAATGAATTTGAAGCGCCATTGCGACATGACGACTAAATTCGGAGAGAGCAGTTTACAAAATCGATAAAATTAATTCAGTTTCGGGCGAATAAAACATCCACAAAGTGAACGGTTAGCTTTTATTGAGCTTAATAATAAGTTGGCTGTAAACTTAGCGGTAATTCTTTCGTATCTTTACTTGTAATATGCTAATTACCAGTAAAATAGCAGACGTATGGGTTAATTATTCATTTGATTGGAGGAATATTATATGTCATAAATAATATGTTCGATACTAATTAATTGAAGATTATGTGATTATTACGCTATGTTTTAACATCCCGATAGATTACAAAATATATACCCAAATTTTGGCACAAAACCAATCAGCTTACAGGCAAAATCGGAACCTTAATGGTGTTTATAAAATAAGATTTTCTATTGTTAACGGCCTTAGATTTGGCTCACCCTGCTGGCCTCCATTAGTGCTTACAACGCGTGCCAAATTTTTTATTCAACTACCTAACACTTTAGACTTTTTAAATAATACAAATTACGTGTTTTTTCAACCTCAAACACGTAGTCAAGTTTAGTCTCAATCAGTTTTAATAGACTCGGACAAAGAATTAGTTTTTCTACTCAAAGAGGGAACGCTGCCTGTATCTTCGGAACCTTGCCTAAATGGACTCCTTTTAATAAAATATTTAATAGAGGAAATTATTTGTTTTTAATATTTTATTTATAATAATATCATA